CCGCCGCCGGGTCTCCCTCCGCCTCCCGCGGCCCGGCTGCGCCCGCGCCTCTGCCTCTCCCCGCCCAGGTGTGCTCCGGGGGCATCCCCGGCCCCACGGCCCGGCCTTCCGCGGTCCACTAGGGAGTGGGGATGTCCCCCTGGGGAGGGGTCTGGGCCTCCGGGTGTCTGTCTGGGTCTCCTTCCTCTGATCTCAGTCCGGCTCGGGCTCCCGAGGCCCGGGGAGGGGGCAGGTTCTGGCCTGTGCCTCCCCCCTCATGCCCCGCCCCGGGGCCCAGATTCCGGCGTCCGGGGGCGGACGGGAGACGCCCGGCCCGTCTACCCGCCCCGGGCCGCGTCTGCTCCGACGGGCGGGGCAGCCAGAGCCGGAGAGGGAGAGGGAAGCCCGCCCCGGCCCTGCGACCTGCCCTGGGCGCTCCACCCTGGGACTCAAGACCCCCCAGTCCCTCCTCCCTCAGACCCACCAGGCCGGTCTGAGCTCTCTGCTTCCTCCCGCCCCCAGGTGTTTGCTGCCTGGTCTTGGTCGCCCTGAGCCTGTGGCCAGATAGAGCTGCTGCCCCGGGGCCACCTCCTGGCCCCCCGCGGGCCTCCCCAGACCCTCGGGCTGAGCTGGACAGCGCCGTCCTCCTGACCCGCTCCCTCCTGGCGGACACTCGGCAGCTTGCGGCGCAGCTGGTAGGAGAGCCTGGAGGGGATGGGCTGGGACCAGGACCAGGAGTGGGGAGGGCTTCTGGGCTACCACGGTGGCAGAAACGGGGGGGAGGGAGGAGTTTGGGGCCTGTCTGGAGGATGGAGGGACCCTTGGAGCTGGGCAGGGTTCCCCTCAAGGCTTCTTTGCCCCCACAGAGAGACAAATTTCCCGCCGACGGAGACCACAACCTGGACTCTCTTCCCACCCTGGCCATGAGTGCAGGGGCGCTGGGAGCCCTACAAGTAAGGGAAGGGGAAAGGGACGGGAGCAAAGATGAGATCTGGGCATGGAGGGGGTGCGGGGGATTGGGGGCCAGAGCAGGCAGGTGGCAGGTGTTCCCTGATGCCCCCCACGCCCTGTGTCCTAGCTCCCAGGTGTGCTGACACGGCTGCGAGCGGACCTGTTATCCTACCTGCGCCATGTGCAGTGGCTGCGCCGGGCCGGGGGCCCTTCCCTGCGGACCCTGGAGCCGGAGCTGGGTGCCCTGCAGGCCCGGCTGGACCGCCTGCTTCGCCGGCTGCAGCTCCTGGTAGGACACTCCAGCCCCCAGACCTGACACCTAGACTTGAAACCCGAGACCCCAGGACCCTCTGAGACCCTCCTCTGTGTCCCAAACCCTGTGGCCCCAAGACCCCCCAGACCCTGCCATCTCCAGACCTCAGAACCTAGACCTTGAGGTCTCAGACCTTGAGCTCTGAGTCCCTAAGACCTCAGATGCTGGTCGTGAGCCCTTACGACCCCCAAACCCTGACTGCTAAAATCCTAGACCCAGCACCCTGAGATCAGAAAACTTCAGATACCGCAAAGACCCTGGACCTCAAATTCCAGCTCCCCATTCTGAGAGCCCAGCCCTCACCCATGAGTCCCTGAGCTTGGATCGGAGAGACCCCACATCTAAGACCCCAGCCCCGACATCTTGGACCCGACCCCAGACTTGAGCCCACAGCCCCCAGCCCTCACCTAGCACCAGGATCCCAGTCCTGATTCTATAGACCTCGCCCCCAATCCCCTGGACTGGGCCCTGGAATTCCAGCTCTGACACCCCCACCTTTTGGTCCCAGTCTTCATTTTCTGAACGCAACATGCTGAGAACTGCCCACCCAGAAACCCTACCCCACAGGCCACAGACACTCCAGAAGCATGCAGCCTGGACTCCCCAACCTCCCATTCAGACCCCTTCCTGGGACCCCCACTGCACCCCTGACCTATTGCTAACCCTCTGTCCTCTCCCAACAGATGTCCCGCCTGGCCTTACCCCAAGCACCCCCAGACCCACCAGCTCCCCCGCTGGCCCCCCCGGCCTCTGCCTGGGGAGGCATCAGGGCAGCCCATGCCATTCTTGGGGGGCTGCACCTGACCCTTGACTGGGCCGTGCGGGGCTTGCTGCTGCTGAAGACTCGGCTGTGACCCGCCACCCGGAACCACCAACGTCCTTCGATGCCACATCTTATTTATTTATTTATTTTGGGACTGGGGGCACAGCAGCAGGAAAACACCCCCTCCTTCTCTCCCCCTAATTCGAGACGGTCCCTCCAGGAGACCTGGGCGGAGTGGGGGGGGTATCTGTGCCTTATTTATACTTATTTATTTAAGGGGGCGGGTGGGAGGCAGGTTGTCTTGGGGACCAAAGGGGCAGGGAACTGGAGTCCTAGATTCTTGAATCACTTAAGAAGTCTGGCCACAGGCTTTCCCTGTCCCCTAGCCCTCTGGGCCTGGGCAGGAGCATATATTATTTATTAAACAATTACTTTTTGGGTTGGGGTGGGGAGGGAAAGGAGGCCTGGGTTTTTGTACAAAAATGTGAGAAACCTTTGTAAGATGGAGAAAGGGGAATTAAATTTGTCATACACATCCACTTAGAGGCGATTTCTCTGAGTGCTGAGGGTTGGGGGCTGGTCGCCGGGGTCCCTGGAGCAGAGAGAGGCAGGGACCCTTAGTGGGCAGGACAGCAGAGAGGAGATTGTTGGTCCCCCAGGGACCCTGAGTGCTGAGGGCCAGGGTCTGAGCCTGCACTTTGTAGGCACTCAATAAATTAAAGGAAGGTTCCAGAAGGCCATCCTATGCGCTACAATACTTGCATGTGACAAAGCTACAAGTTTGATGTTCGTTATGGTGATGTTCACAACAGCAGATCAGAAACCACCTAGATGTCCAACAGTGAGGGATGGTTTAATAAATTACACCCATCCATGTGATGGAATACCATCAGCCATGCCGAGGGGATGAGACGGAGGCTGCTTTAAGACATAGAGAAAGCAGGCTACTGACCACTGCATGATTCCCATTTTGTGTTTGGATGGATGGATGGATGGATGGATGGACAGATGTTTTTAAAAGTCCTAGAACATGGGGCATCTGGCTGGCTCAGTCAGTAAAGCCTGTGACTCTTTTTTTTTTTTTTTAAGATTTTATTTATTTGCGAGAGAGAGAATGAGAGACAGAGAGCATGAGAGGGAGGAGGGTCAGCGGGAGAAGCAGACTCCCTGCCGAGCAGGGAGCCCGATGCGGGACTCGATGCGGGACTCGATCCTGGGACTCCAGGATCATGACCTGAGCCGAAGGCAGTCGCCTAACCAACTGAGCCACCCAGGCGCCCCATGCCTGTGACTCTTGATATCGGGGTCGTGAGTTCCAGCCATACATTGGGCATAGAGGTTACTTTAAAAATAATAATAGGGACGCCTGGGTGGCTCAGCCTTCGGCTCAGGTCACGATCCCGAAGTCCCAGGATCGAGCCCTGCATTGGGCCCCCAGCTCAGCAGGGAGTCTGCTTCTCCCTCTGCTCTTCACCCAGTTCATGCTCTCTCTCTCTCTCTCTAATAAATAAAATCTTTAATAATAATAAGTCATAGAAGAAAATGCACCAAAATGTTGACAATGGTCCCCTCAGGGTGGAAGGTGGGGTAGAGTTATGAGTGACTTTTTAAAAAAATCTGTGCTTGTCTGTATTATCCAGAATTTCTACAATGACCATGTATTTTGCATGACACATTTAAAAAAATAATAAACACTTTTTAGAATGGAAGAATACCAGTCAACACCTTCTCCCCCAATAAACCCTCAGAAGGAGTCAAGAATCACGGCTCACTGAGTCCCTGCCCTGGACCGTGGCTTAAGTGTGGGGTTTTACTTACACGATCCCCTGAATGCGCCATTATGCCCCACTTTACAGGCGAGGGGAGGTGAGGTGGAGGGGGGGTGGTTGTTGTTCAGGGTCACATGGCTAGGGAGAGACAACTGTGATTCTGCCAGAGGTCTGGCTCATTCCAAAGCGCACGTCCTTTTCTTTAGAACCCATGTTCAGCAGTTGTTGCTACAGACACAAATAGGTTACATATGGGGAAACTGAGGCCCAGTGGGGGTATGAGTCTTACTCAAGGTCCAGAGGAAGGTCAGTGGTGAGCTGGGGCTGTACTCAGGTCTCCCTTCTTAAGAGTCAGAAACTCTTGGTTAATTATCCGTTTACAATATCCAAGACAGCACCCCCCCCTGCCACCTGCCCCCCGCAAGGGTCCAGTTTTTTCACTAGTTTGGGTCTGGATTGGGGGCTTCTGATTCACAGACTTCAGCCCTCAAGACTCTAGGCCACATCTTGGGGAAGGGAGCCCATCTGTGCCCCCCAGAGAGTTCCCAGAAAGAGTCCTACACATGTCTGATGAGGTCACAAAGCCCCTCCACCGGAAGGCTCCTCCCCCAGGCCAGGGCTGACCACCCCCCCCCTCCTTCAGGGCCATGGCCAAGCCCTGGGGAAGCTCCACCCTCTGGAACCGCTGAGCTCCCGCACCTGTGAAGCCCAAAGGGCCAGTACGGGTGGGCTGGGGGACACTGGGCAGGCCATGTGCCCAGGTGCCCTGCTCCCTGACTGTGTGTCAGTGGTGACTCACCTTTTCTCCAGCCGCCATGAACCAGTTTCGGAATATCAGGCGCATGGAGCCACTCCAGGGACCCTCAAAATGGGTCCCCACTCTGGGCGAGCTGCAGAAGACCCTCCAGAAGGGCGAGTACCTGCCCCTCCGCCCGCTGCCCATGTTCGAGAGTAACTTTGTCCAGGTCCCCAGCTTCCTGTACCCTGGGGGCGGAGAGGGGCAGGAGGGGATTGGAACTCCCTGGGCTGGGGGACTTGAACCCAGGCAGGTATGAGGCAGTGGGGGTGGTGGTGGGTGGGGCTCCTGTGGCAGGGGGCTTGGGCTGGGGGTGCCAGAGGAGCACTGGAGAAGGAGTGGTTCCAGCCCCTCTCCCTGGCCCCCCAGGTGACCAATCGAGGGGCCCCCGTGTACATGCACCACAGAACCAACCGTCTGACCATGGGTGTGGCTGCCTCCCTGCCAGGCCTGGTACTCCCAGACATCCTGCTGATCGCTCAGCCCGGAGAGGGCAAGGAGTGCTCCCACCTCGTCCTCACCAGGTGCCTCCATCCCCCCTGCAATCTGCCCCAGGAACCTCATCCTCACCAGGTGCCTCCATCCCCCCCATCTGCCCCAGGGAATGCTCCCACCTCGTCCTCACCAGGTGCCTCCATCCCCCCATCTGCCCCAGGAACCTCGTCCTCACCAGGTGCCTCCATCCTCCCTTCTGCCCCAGGGAGTGCCTAACCTCATCCTCACCATGTGCCTCCATCCTCCCCCATCTGCCCCAGGGAGTGCTCCCACCTCATCCTCACCAGGTGCCTCCATCCCCCCATCTGCCCCAGGGAGTGCCTAATCTCATCCTCACCAGGTTCCTCCATCCGCCCCATCTGCTCCCACCCTGTCCCATCTCCTGCTCTACCATCTCCATCTCCTTCTTGCCCCCACCCCCCAGGATGCTCCCGCTGGACCTGGCCCACCTCTACGTGCATGACTTGTCTGCCTGGCGCCTTAAGTTGCGCCTGGTCACAGGCCGTTACTACTACCTGGAGCTGGACGCCCCTGATAACGAGGCTGGCTTCCTGTTTGACCGCTGGATCCGTCTCATCAACCTGCTCCATGAGCCTGCCACAACCTGGGCCCCCAGGACTCTGAATACACCCACCATGGACCTGGCCCATATGGTACCTCCGGCCTCCACCTGGCGCCTCCAGGTGGGCACTGCCCTCACAGCCCCCAGGGGCAACTATGGTTTTAGATTTCAGAGCCAAGACAAACAGCCTGAAATCCAGAATCCCAAGAAATGAGGCTGGGGCCTGGATGACAGAGGAGGGGCTGGGGGTTAGACTCCTGGGTCTGAGGGAGGAGGGGCTGGGGGCCTGGACTCCTGGGTCTGAGGGAGGAGGGG